CATTGTTATATGGTACAATGCTTATATATATATATATATATATATATATCATTTTAAAAGTGAATTGAAAACGATTTTTTAAAATAAATTTTAATATCTAATTTGAATCCAAATCGAATCAAATACACAATGAGAAACAAAATAGTTGAATTAAATCATAGTAAAGAATCATCCCATATTTAAACAATATTTATCATCAAAAGGCTTATAAAAAGCTTGTGCTGACAAATGAGATCAAGAACATGAACAGAAAATCACTCAAATCTAGAATTTTGAATAATTAAAATGTATTTAAGTTAGTGTTATATTGGTAATTAATTAAAAGTCAACACTGACTTCTCATTGGCTGCTGCAAACCCGAAACAAAGTATTTACAGTTGGTCCCATGATTCTTATAATAATAGTAAAAATCTCATTTTGATTTTTCTTAATCATATAATAAAAATAAACCTACGCCTAACACCGACAAGTGGACGGACAAACATTATAGCGTTGTTGGAATATTATATTTCCTAAACTAATTATGAGTTATATATATTTTGGATTCGATTGAAAAAATAATTCTATAAATTCAACTTGTCATATTTCATAAATTTAGATTCATAATTTAAAACCGATTTTTTAAAATCTACATACTCCGATTTTCTTAATTATCAGATGGTTCAGATCTAATTTCCATAAACCTTATAAATTATATTCATTCACTAAAAATTCACAAATTGAAATTTCTATAAATCATATAAACTCAACTTCATGTACTGCATGAATCAAATCTATAGCTTAAATCCAAATTTTATTAAATCAACTTTCCAAAACTAGTTTCTATAAACCTTATAAATTATATTCATTCACTACAAATTCATATATTCGAATTGCATTCTTTTTTCTATAAACCCTATAAATTATATCCATTTACTATAAATTCATAAATTCAAACTCCTATCAACCCTATAAATTTAACATCTTATACTTCATAAATAAAAAAATTACAATAGAAATCCATTTTTTAATCCTTACATACCCGATCTTCTGAATTTGGAAATTAAATGCTATAATAAACCCTACAAAATTATATTCAAAGAAAAGAAACACAATCCATAAAAATAAAATAGCTTTCTACTTGCACACCGGAGTCGCAAAATCCCAAACAATGGAGCGGAACACAGAGTGTCCACAATGTCTATTTTCCGAACCTGAGCCCTAAGTCAGAGAAAGTGTTTCAAACATGGTGGCGTCTGTCTTTTAATCAAATCTCCTACTCGTTTGGTTTGGTATGACAAATGGCTTAAACCTTAAAACTGATCTAATGAAACCCGGAAAAAAAAAACTCGAGTACCCTTACCGAGTTTGATCTCTGAAACTGGTGAAGCTCAAGAACTAATCATGTTGAAATGGAATCTTGAGAGCTGTTGAGGAATGGTCGATATTACCGGTCCATATCGCTGTTGCAACGGGGGATCCAACAGTTAGAAATCAGAGAAATACCAAAGAAAATCACATAATAAACCATGGGTTCTAGAGAAAAGACGGGTAATCGCCAAAAGATGATCAAGACCTGAACGTTGTCATAGAGTTCGAACAACGGGACAGCCAAGAGTTTCAAGTTTTTGGGCACAGCAAAGTACTCTTTCTCGGACAGGTGAACTATGAAGAGTCTCTTGCATTCCTGTTGATCCCCGAAAAAACGAGAAAGTTGAGTAGATCATAAATCTCTTTACCTAACTTGCAAAAAAGAGAGTATAAATCTGACCTTCGGCTTCGTGATATGAGGAGGGCAATAAGGATACATCATGGTCTCGAAGTTTGGACGCCACCATGTAGCCACACATTCACCTACCTGTAAGGGGAAACACATGTAAAGAAAGAAGATGTAGATCAATCATGGCTCATGAGAAATCTTAAGAGTGAATCCTTCTTCCTGAAATGAATTCCCTTATCACTGGCATGTCTAGGCATTGCCCAAAAAGTGGCATTGAAGAAGACAAAGCTGTAGGGAGAATTCCTGGCAGAACACTAGATTCTTCCCATTTTCTGGGTATGAATTCCTTATCAACAAAGTTATGGAAGACAAATCGTATCAAATTTTACGTTTAGAGCTATTATCATCTACCCTAAGCTTTTTAAGCTGTCTATCGACCGAGAAATCTACTCATGAAACCAGGATAGTACCTTCCAATCAGGCACAAGATTGGGCGAGTTAGCTCCAAGCTTACTTGCTAACTTTCTTTTCAAGCCCTCAATTTCTGACACAAAAAAAAACACACCGAAATGTGAACAAAAAGAACAAAACTACACCAGTGGGTGAAATTACTTGGGAAGAATGATACCATTTTCTCCTGGCTTCAAACGTCCACCAGGAAGTTTGCAGAATGTGTTACCAATTTGAAGGAGAAGTATGTGAGGATGGTTGTGCTCTTGCACCTGCAAGGTGAATCGACACGGATTTCAACGTAAATGGGGCTGAAATGAATAAGGATTTCAACGTATGCGTTACCAATTTGAAGGAAATGAACTGACATTATTTATTCATCCGGGCAATGAAATGATTGACAACATAAGCCAACGTAGGACAAAAAACCAATCATATATTATGTCCCCAGGACATTGCAACTTCAAAAAAGAAGTAAATGTTTCATGGACTAACATGGAAAAATCGAACAAGGACAGTATGGACTCCCTTATTCAACAGGTTTAAGAGCCCTTGAAGAAAACACCCATAAACAACGAGATTCCATACCTAAAAAATATTGCATGCTGTGTGAATAGCTCATATATCTGGATTTCAACTCAAATCCGTCGAATCTGCAAAACTAGTGGTCTTGTTTGTTCATTTCAATTCATTTAAAAGATGAGAGCTTGTGTTGATTCAACTGCTACAAAACTGAATTGGAGACGATGAAAACTAGGAAGGACACGTCACACATATGACACTGATAAATTATCATAGACCCTTTCGTGTCATGTTATGTTTCTTGAGACAGATTGCTCACAATGTACATTACTGAACATTCTCCTCCAGAACAAAACTACAAAACATGCATTTCATTTTACACGAAAAAAGAATGATGCATTGAATGTGAAGATACAGTTATACAAATAATGAACCAGATTCCTGCATAACCGATATTAATTTTGCATACATGTCCTACCTAGATACAACGATACATGACCGGGAAGACATTCATAAGGATTTGCCAACCGTAAAATCGACAGTTCAAACAGGAAGAGAAATAGCATACCAGTAGAATCCCTTCAACGCTAGTCCTCATGCCTTCCTTCATATAGCTATGCCACACCATTAGCAAACAATGAAGAGATTGACAGAACATTCAGTCTCCAGTGGTCAAATAATAAACGCTAAGCTTAGAAGCCATTTTCTTCAAAGCCAAGCTTGAAACTTTGAAGATGAACTTAGCAATTACCCCAACAACTACAAGAAGACCTCTTTTGTTAAACTTGTTCTAACAACTAAGATATTATTGTCGATTTAAAGTTAATGAATGAAAAACATCACCTCATTGTGCCAAAAATAGCTATAAGTATGGAATTTAGTGCAAACCCAGAAGATTAAAGGTACAGAAACATAAAACAGAAGACAAGCAAGATCCGGAAGAAAAAGAGCAGCACAGCACTGGTCACGAGCTTCCTCCCTAAACGGTTGCATATGACAAAAGACTGGCAAATTCGAAAATCCCACTACACAGATTTACCTCTAATGTACGCAAATTTCGAACAAGGTCAGCGAGATCGTGATTCAATCTTGCGCAAAAAGCATCCAAAGGAAGAAGGAACATATATTCCTAGGGTTTCATTCTGACATCGTTTCCCGAACATTGCAACCAAAAAAGGAGGAAGAGAACAGGGACATCGAGAAGAGATCGTACTTGACTTTCATACGAGCGAGCCGATCGGCGACGGAAGTGTCCTTCTCCAGCTTTGGCTCCTTAGTTCCGAAGCTGTAGTTCGAAAGAGGGTACGTGTTCACCACCGGAGACAACACCATCTCTCTCTACCTCTGAGGAAATCTCTCTCTCTCAGGTTACGCTCGGCGGCGGAGACGACGGAGAAAATAGCAGGAGTGATTCCGGCAGAGAATTTACTCCGGAGCTTTTCTAGAATTTACGGCCTTGTGGTCAAAATTTTATCAGTGTTTGATTTTGTTTTGGGCTACATGGGCCTGATTAATGGGCTGGGCTTTTCATTGATTTTTCCTCAAGAACTATCCATTAAATTTCGTTGATAATTTAGATCATTAGATGTATATATATAGTGTGTATATATATATATGTGTGTGTGTGTGTGTGAATCTGTGTACATATATTTTTGTGATTTTTCTTTTTTAAATTTGTCATCGTGATGTACGTATATTATTTTTTTGATTTGTTATGTCAATTTCGGATGATGGTTTTATCACGATATTAATAGTTAATCGAGATTTTGTCGCAATTTTAAATATGAAATATTTATTTTGAATACAATTGTTTTTACATTTTTTGTTAGATTTAAAATTTACATTTTAACTTACAATTTAAGTAAAATCTGGATACTTTTTGGTATTTTCCGTCATTTAAAATATGAAAACAAAGAGCTAAATATTCTCAGATAATAAAACGCCAGCCCGAACATAACACTTTTTTATTTTTATTTTTTAAATATAAACAGATATAATTTAGCAGCATAAAAACACAAAATAAAAATAATGAGATTCTGAATTGCAGAAATTATGGGTTTTATTTTATTGTTTGATTTCTGCAATTTCGGGTTGAGAACCGAACCGGTTATCGATACCACTGAACCAAACGACAGAAATTATGCGTTTATTTATTGTTTGATTTGGAGTGAGAGCATACCGAACCGGAAAAAGCCCGCCAACGATCTCAATATTTCCCGCCACAATTCCTAACTCTGATATATATGCGCATTGCAAATGTATGCATATCTTCTCCGTTCCTGGGCGAGGAAGAAGAAGAAGAAGAAGGATAGGCAATGGAGATTAGGGTCAAGTGCGGTTGCGAAGAAGAGAAGTGCGGAGAGTGGGCGATCGTGGAAATCCAAGGCGTCATCGAAACTCAACCTTCATTCCATGGATCCCTCCAGAATCTGGAGATCGGCCATCTCTGTCGCTCGGATTCATCCCAGGTTTCATTTCGGATTCGTCATACTCGCACAAACATGACAATCGATCAGTTAATCGATGATATCGGCTTGAGCAGTTATGTATTGTATATGTGTATGTATCATTTGGAGATTGCGGGTTTTGTCGCAGGAAACGTACACTTTCACCATCGGGTACCATGAACTGACAGGTTCGAGGGTGACTCTGAAGAAGCCTTTGCTGGTTCTGAAGAAGGTACGGAAGTGTACGGATGGAGATCCATCGAAAACAGGGGTAGAACTTGAAGTTGCAGGGATAATAAGGAGCAAGATCTTGTTCAAGACCAGACCTAAACCCCTGATTTCTGGTACGAGCACTTACTTCTTCGTGTTCTTGTCCTATACCATTGGCATATCTCTACAGCTGAAACACATCATGATTCAATGTTTTGGTTCATTGTTATATGGTACAATGCTTCCACTACACTTTTATTCGGATCGGTTCAGTTCATTTGCCCCATCTCCAGGATGATAAAGGGCCAAAGCTTGAGACTTTAGGATGATTTCTGGGAGATTTTAGCTTAAGATACGTCTTAATGCTTCTGGGTCATTTTCAATTTTCTTGTTTCAGGAGCACAGCAACCTGCAAAAGAGATTGGGAGCAGACCATAGACAGAAACCTCTCAGGTCTGCTTACTTGGGAGTTGTTGTCTCAACATGTAACTGTTCACTGTGCGATGGGGAACTACTGCTTAGATCAAATCATTGCCTCCATGGGAATTCTGTGTTGTATGGCCAAAATGATGCAAGAGCTTGGTTTTTCATCCACTCATAGCTGAAGACATTAGAATGGTGGTTTCTGTCTGATCCGTGTGTATCTTTACCCTTAGTTCCTCGCTTGCAAACCGACCATTGGATTTGAATTACTTGGTAGTTTGTGACTGTCTCTGTGAGTGCAGCTTCAAACATGTAAAACCCTTTCATCAAATTTCTGTAGATCCAAAGCAAAGATGCAGCTTCAAACATGGGATTAGGTTGATTCAGTTTTAATTGATAAATTTTTTCATTTTTTATATTTTTTAATTACTTCTAGGAAACATTTAATAAAAATATACAAAAATATCAATTTTTTTATTTGACAAATAAATACATCAAATATTAAAATGTATCAAAAAATATTTAATTATGCTATGGATGATTTTATTCTCTTTTCAATATTTGTGTATTTATTTATCAAATTAAAAGTTTGTATTTTTTTCACATTTTGTAGAGTTCATGTATTTTTTATAGATTTTTTTTATTTTTTATATTCGATTAAAATTTGGATTTTCATATTTAAAAAATCATAAAAATTTGATCTTTTAATTTCTATGGTTATAATACGTTAGTCTATTATTTTGATTTTGGAAAACCGAAATGCCCGCACCTATATGGATGGTCGGATTAGAAAATATCAGCGTCTTACATTGGAGAATTTGAATGTATAATTGAAACTATGATAACAACAATTGATATTTTAGTTTTGTTCCCGATTAATTTGGTAATTTTCGGATTTAGTAATTAGTTTTAGAAAAATATTTTATTCAATGTTTTTGTTAATTTTGTATTTTATTTATATTCGAGTTTTTTTATCTCTTTAATTCTTATGCTATACAATAATTATTATTATTATTATTATTAGTTTTAGAAAAATATTTAATTTTTATAAAATATTTTATTCAATGTTTTGGTTAATTTTGTATTTTATTTATATTCGAGTTTTTTTTATCTCTTTAATTCTTATTCTTATTCTTATTCTTATTATTACTATTACTATTATTATTATTATTATTATATTCAAATTTTATATTATTGATTTGGATCGGTTATATCATCTAATTTCTCTCGTGAATACAATTTAAAGCCCATCTTGGGCCCGTTCGACCCGCACGGAGAATCCAAATTCTCGGACCAAACCAGAGATTACCTCCGGCGAACACACGATTCAATCTTCGACCTGACAGAGAAACAGAGTAACAGAACAATGATCGAGTTCATCACAATCCATAGGAATCTCATACTCCAAATCCTTGCCCCAATCTTCTTAACCCTAATCCTCGCATTTCTCAGGATTCCCGTCGTCTTCCTCCACGGCCTCTGCACCTACGTCCAACCGGAGAATCTCGGCCAAAACAACACCGGCGGCGGTGGAATCAAAGCCGCCATTCGACGGCCATCTGATGATCCGAAAGCCAATGTAGAGCTCAAGAGGAGGAACAGATCTAAGGACAAGTTCGAGTTCGACGAGAGCAATGCCCAGATCTTCCGGATCAAGCTCGACGAGGACCACCTCAGATCTCGGCTTTATTACAACGAGTACAAAAACTGTTTCGTTTTGTCCTTCTTAGCTGTTTCCTGTCTTCTGCTACACAAATACTTAGGTGTAGGAGACGACAATATAGCTCTGGCGAATGGGTTGATGGTTCCGCTTGTTCTCGGATTTGTGGCTCTGTGTAAGGTGCTTGCTGCTCTAGCTAGAATTTCGCTCGAGCGATCTGCGTCAAAGAAGTCTGAGAAGAGATTGAGCTTGATTTTCGGGGGTCTAGGGTTTGTTTTTGGGATCGTGATCAGTGCTGGCATTTTCCCGAATGGATTCGATTTCAATTTGGGTTCAGTTGATGGATTCTGGTGCATATTCATCTCGGTTTCAATGGCTTGCATCTCCGGTTTTCTCTACATGCCCGCTGGGCGAAGTGCGCGGTCATTCTGGGTCGGAACAGATCAAATCCGGTCAAATTTGTCGATGATTTCATGCGGATGGTTAGGTAGAATGATTCTCTACGCGAACTACATAGCTTCGGCTTTCACTTCGCTGCTTTGGATTAAGCCGTTGACAGAGATTCTAGTGAAAAAGAACCTTGACACAACTAGCATTATCGGTTTTGTCGGTAACGTAGGTATGCCAATGGAAGATTTCGCCAAGTTTCGGGTTTTATGCTTGTTCTTGTCGGGTTTCTTGCAAGCTTTGGCTGTCCGTCCCAACCTGCAGATGTTCTTGAACGAAGCCGTCTTATCGTGGTACCAGAGATTACATGGAAGCAAGGTTCCCGATTTGGATTTCAGCCGGGCGAAAATGTTCTTGCACAACCACTTCTTATGCCTCGTGGCTCTGCAGTTCTTAGCTCCATCTGTTCTGGTGCTCGTCTTCCTCGGCCTGTCTCAGATCGATCTGAGCTCTTTCTTCATATCCCGACTGGTATGCGGTTCTTTGCCTTGTGGTGACTTCTTTCGACAAGTAGGTTTGTTAATGTCTTGGTGGGTTCTCTTTATTTGGTCGGTGCTTGCTTCAGCTAGCCTTGTATTCTACCGCCGTGGTGTCTTGTATGTCTCTTGAGACGATACTTTTGGGCTTCCCCGAGGTTTTTCGGGTCGGTATATTCCCTGTAACAGGACAATCAGTTTTGCGGAATGTAGTTTTCTCGGTATGTTTGTATGTTATACTCAGAATCAGTTTAAGGTTTTGGTATTGTTTTGTCTTCTGGAAGAGAATTAAAAGCAGGAACATTAACTGTTTTTTTGCCAAAACGTCCGAGGGGACATGACCGGGAGAATGGCATCCGAGAACGAGTCAATGCCCGAACCATCACAAGTTTCAGACAAATAACAGAACGGAAAAACCGTAACCTAAAGGGAAAAAAACACCCATGGTTCGTTCTTGACTCGGGAATCAGCCATCTCGACTCGGAAGATCCCTCTTCTTCTGTTGTTCTCCTATACCCTTTTTAGCTAAAGTGATAGCTACTGAAGAGCAGCTTTGATCTTGTCAATGGTGCAAGAGATGAGGTTGTTCACTGTGCCGACCGATTCCACGTTGAACCTGGCGTTCGGTAAACTGTTCACCAGTATCTGAAACCCGATAGACAGGAGACATCCGCTTCCGCCGCCGCCGAACCCATCGCTCTCGGGCTTCATCATTCCCCCATCGTCGGGTAATATCGAGAACCCAGATGGAAGAAGAGCGACGTAAGCCGAATCCCCACCGTTCATGACCACATTCATCGACGAGACGTCGACGGGAGCGTACATCACCAGGGAACCCGAGGCGTCGGTCCAAGTCTCTTGCAGGATCAGCATAGTGCTTTCGGCTTGATCTATCCCCTGCACAAAAAGTTCAATTTTTACCTCAAACAGGTAAGACACCATTTCTTTGTTTCCATGGGAATCGCTTAAACCAAGAACTTAGTTGGATTTACTCACAGAAGTACGGAGAACAGAGACGCAGTTTCCTTGATGTTGTCCCTTTGGTAAGCGGATCATCTCCTGCATCGAGCTTCCGTTCGACAAAATATCCCACTGGTTTCGGCATTTCGGGTCGCGGAGGAAGTCGAAGAGCCTCCACGGATCCAGGGGAAGCCAGACCGACGTTGCAGCGCTAAGAACGATGCCCGAGGGCTCTCCTGGGTCGATCAGGTTCTTCCGGGTCCGTATCCTCATGTCTTCGCCTACATTCGCCACGAGAAGCTTGTCCCACTTCCGTACCGACGATCTCGAGATGCCCGCATAGAAGTTGACCGCCATCCGCTGCGCTAGCTTCAGTATGCTCTTCTCTCCCGCTGGCGACAAACCTATCCAAAACGCCACAATCTCTCAATTCATTTTCGGGGTTCTCGGAAGATCTCAGCCCGAGCTTTTTAACAAACGTTAATTATAGGGTTTCGAGCAGGAGAAGAGGGGGAAAGAGCGACCTGTGTGATTGTCGATAGGATCATCGAGAGAAGACAGAATCGTCTGGAAGCTCTCGCATTGCCTCTGAAGAGTGACGAGCCATCTTTCCGCCCCGAAACCACGGCCCGAGCTGAGCAATGGTCGGAAAAGTCGGTGAACGTTACTCTCGTCATACTCCGAGTGTTCCACCCATGTAACCTGCAAGTTTTTTGTTTTTCATAAAACTTAAACAGGATTGAACCAACTAATCACGAGCCAAGACTATGAAATATTATACGGCCATCAAGATTTTATCGATACAGAAACGTACGACAAGTTCAGGCTGATGTGGAATCTAGAAACCCAAACCGAACCGAAACGGGTATTGACCCGTCGGATAGTCCGACCGAGAAACCCGAGGGAGATCAGACCGAGATCATGTACACTGGAAAAAATATCCGACCCATGTCTACCCCTACCAACTAATCATGAGTCAAACTAGAGGTCTAGCTCTGATTCTACAAACCTCGGTCAGGTGCAAATAAGCTCGAGAAAACAAACTACATAGAAGCGGATATCCAATCCATCGGGTAAATCCGACAGACAAAACCCAAGGGATACGAGCCCCGAGATCATGTACACCGGAAAACTTGGAGAGCCGATCCGTGTCCAGCCCTACCAGCTATGACCCAAACTAGGGGTTCTAGGCCGGATTCTAAACCTCGCTTATGTGCAAATAAGCTCGAGAAAACAAACTATGAAGAAGCGGAACGAGTTACAGGTTCGGAATTACCTTGGAACAGCCATTTCCGATGTCCTGTATAATGCAGCCTGAAGGGAGCCTCCTACAGCCAACATAAGACTGCAAGTTCGGATCTTCTCCGTTAATGTCGGAAGAAACATCAACCACTGCCCATAAACCCTCTTCCTGTTGCTTGCAGTATCTAAGATACTTCACTTGTCTGGTTGGAACTAATGGCGATATCACTTGAAACTCTGCTCTCATCTGCCCGGAAAAGAAAAAGTCGGTTCCGTTCATACCCGATATCGGCAAGAATATATATCTATAAAAGGGTAACCGATCGAGAAACGCACCAGTTGAAGCCAACCGTCCATGGTTCCACCAGTACCGCTCGATATCACTTTGATGGTCGACGCTGTAGCCACGATCGACTCGAACATCTCTGTCCACCGGTTCTGCGAAAACGTTAAAAAAATGTTAACAAAATCTTTGCTTGGTTTCGCTATTGAACAAATCTTTATCGGGTCATACCGCATCCATCAGTGTCTCGACCAGAGCCAAGCTGTTGCTGAGAACCAAACCGGTTTCCCTTGAAGCCTCGGCTACAAACCCTGCAGAGGTTATACAGCTCGTGCCAGAGAAAACCCTTCTATATTCATCATGGTTCAGCGCCTCTTTCTCGCTGTTCGGGTATTTGATCCAAAGTGGATAGTTTGAATCTGCCAGCTTAATCAGCTCATCCATGGCCGCCAAGGCAAGATCGATAAACATTGATCTCTCGTACATCAGTTCATTTCCAACCTCGGGTTTGATTGGAGCCGGTCCATCGCTGAAATCAATGCCAGTTCCACCAGTTCTTCCCACTGGAAATCCCGAATACAAGGCATCTAAGACAGATGGCCGAGGGAATGGACCGGCCAAGGCAGAAACTGGTCCGACGAGGAACTTGTTTGCCAAACCGCAAACCCGGGATAGTTCGTCTTTCAATCTCGCATTCTCGATTCCAAGATTCTGCTGCTCGAATGTAACTTCACCCGGAACAGCTGGCCCGCCACAAACATTGCACATAGGACTTCTCATCGCCACTTTCAGCAAATTGTTCTCCGCAATCAGCTTCTCATTCTCTTCTCTCAGAATCGCATTCTCATGGCGTTCAAGCTGCGTCTGATCGAGAGAAAAAAACTACGGTGAATGACAAATGCTACAAGATGATCTTGTCAAGATCGAAGAGCAGAAGAAAGGCTAATCAGTAGTTAGTAGTACCTTCATTTGAGTTCTTCTGTTCTGAAACCAGAACTTGATCTGGTTACCCTCCAGGCCGAGCCTTCGGCTAAGTTCCAGCCTTTGTTTTTCATCAGGATGAGGACACTCCTTGAAGAGACTACACACCCGAAATCGAAAAAAGTCACAACCTTTTTTGTGAATTAACCAATGCCCTGAATCCAATCAAAGCTCTGAAAACTCAAAACAGCAGAAACGATTTACGATTCGAGTTCTTGAATCTGGTAAGGAGAGTGTCTGTGGTATTTCTTCTTCTTCTTCTTCGGGTGGTGATGTTCTTGTCCTCCTCCTGCCTCTTGATCATCAGCAGACACTGAACCGAGGTTGTCGCTTCCTGACCTGTTCTCATACTCGTCGTCTCTGATTCTCTCCAGAAAGGTCGGATCGAAAATCTCCCCGCACAGACCAATATCACCATGCCCGTTCATTTTCCCTTTCTGCAACAAACCAGACGCTGCCACGAGTTACGAAAAGAAATACCTTCTCCCAGAAATCTAACAGTGCAACAAACCCACCGAATCAAAAGGAACATACAGAGGGAAGTGAAACGATAGAACTCGGCATAGTTGCTGAAACCACAGCCGAACTATTACTACAGTTCAGACCCTCAAAACTCATCATCACAAATAGACGAGGGAAGGAGAGAGAGAGACGATTTGGTGTCTGAAGGTGTGGGTTTTGTTCTTTAATGTTCCTCTATATTTTACCTTATATTTGATTCCCTTTGCTTGTTTATCAAGTTTCTCACGTTTCAAGCAATGCCCAGAAAAAAAAAATGGTATCTTTTCTGGTGTATTTGTGGATTGGGAGCAGGAAGAAGGAGAAAGGTCTCCCTTTTCAAATACAATGTCACTCATCCCTTCATCCAGAAACCTCTGATTCTCTCCAGAAGAAATGCTTCTGTCAGATGAGGGAGAGAGAGAGAGAGAGAGAGAGAGAGAGAGAGAGAGAGAGAGAGAAATTAAGGAACATGACAAAGAAAGCCCCCAAAATTTCAGGCTATTCTCGTTGACCTTCTAACCCCAAATTTTCTCCCTTTCCAAAGTAGATTTCAGAGAGAGAGAGAGAGGGGGGGGGGACAAAAAGGAAACCCTAATTTTCGTCGAGACCCAGAACGCAAAAGCTTCGGATTTGACCAAGTTGGTTTCTTGTCAGTATCTCCAAGAAGACAAAAAAGGAGGAGGAAGAAGAAGAAAAAGACATTCACTGAGGTAAAAGATTCGAGCGAATCAAGATCTCAAAAAGGAGAGAGGCTATTTTAACTTTTTTCCACAAACCCAGATACCCAAAAGGGCCCAGTTGACACTCTATAATCAAAGAAATATACTTTATCACAGTTCGTTAATAATGGGGTCACTGTGAAATCAAATGTAAACAATGGGTTCATCACCATGAAAATGATAAACCTTTTTCAGATCGAGATTATCTTGAAACGGAAGCATCACTACACTGGAGATCTATTTAAGTAGAAGAAGAAGAAGACATGATACAATGGTGGAATTTAGCAAAAGATCGACGGACAGAGATCGCTCCACACGGAATGCACATGCTTGTACAGTTGTGCCGTAAATCTATACACACACGCATACATTCACACAGATACCGAATCATTTTAATATTATATAAGCTTGACTTACAAACGGCTCTCTTCCCGGAGACAAAACAGAGAGCCTTGTCAAAAGGGTTCGTCTTTTATACGCTGTTTATATACGAATGGCCGTGTATTTGAGTGTGCGTATATACACTTATATATACATTTCTTTCTTGACAAAAACAACTCAGAACGCCATTTTTAGTGGCAATCCAAGAGAGAGAGAGAGAGAAGAGTGGGGCCCGCTCGCTCCAAGACCCGAGTTCGAGATATCCGCCGGCGGTCTTCTTCCCACGCGCAAAGTTCGCGCTTGTCGGACACTCGCGATATAATTTTAAAAAACTAAATAATAACAACAACAATTAAAAACAAAAGTTGATACAATGCTTATTCATTGAGAAGAGAGCAATCAGTTGATCATATTTGATTTCTAAGCACACAAAAAAAATTATATTTAATTTTTGGTTTTTTTTAAAAAAAATATATAAAAAAACAAGGGCATATTGAATCCAATTCCTTACAATTACGAATGATAAATCTGTGTACGGAAAGGCGGTTTTTTTATTACTTCCGAAAAAGAAAAGAGGGTCAATCAATTTTTCCTATGGAATTTTTTTACCCTTGCAATCAATTTTTCCCATATTCGGACAGATTTTGGGTTGCTCTAAGGATGGTAATTATTAATTTTTCTTTACACCATATATTTTGAATGTTTTTTTTTATAAGAAGAACCTAAATTTCTTAAGGACAAAACAACTGTCTTTCCTTTAATCTCTTCGTATTTACTGCAAAACAGTTTTGTTAATTATTTGCTTTTTTATACTATAGATGATAGAATTGAGAAAGAATACATTTTCATATCTAAACTGTATTTTCTATTTTATTAATATCTATTTTTGTGTGCTTCAATATTTTAAATTCTTTTTCCAAACATATTAATTTAGTGCTCAAGACTTTAGTAGAAATATATATGTATATATCTAATTTGTGATGTAATTGTAAACGGTATATATATATATCTCATCTTTTGTAGAAAAATATTTTAAATTTAAAATTATCGAAAACTTCTCTGAAAGGAAAATTGCAGGATTTACCTAGGCGAATAGTTTTGAGAAGAGAAATACTTTATCTTTATAATTTTCACATAAAAAATTTGCGTAGAAATAGAAAAAGGCAATGCAAATTTTAGAGATGTTAAGAAGATATATGTTGTTGGTGAATGAAAAAAGAAAAGAAAGATGTTAATTATAGCTATATATATCTTTAATTGGATATGTATATAAAATGTGGGATGTTTTATATCCATTATTATAACTTTAAAAATAGAATCAAATCGTCCTAACTAAACAGTATAAATTATTCCATTTTTAACGCAAAATAACAATTTTTGTTGTATTTAGACTGATTCACTAATCATTGGGCTCAACTATATCTATCCTGTATGGGAAGATAACCTTTTTACTATATAGTTTCAATATTTTAATAGATTTTTTTCTATCACTCAGAATAAATAAATATCCCAAATAATTTTATATCCACGTTATATATATATATATATATATATATATATATATATATATCAACGGGATTATAATGAACTTGGAAAGAATGAAAATACCAACTTTTTATTTCGCTTGATCATCATCACAATCCTTTTTTTTATTTCATTTTCTTATCCATTCGGCTACATGAAAAAAAAGAAACAAACTAAACTGAACTCCAGTTTTATTCTTAGACACGTCTTGTCCCGTCCACTCCTTAAACACCTCCAGATCCTGTCAAAGGAATTTTTTTTTATAATAAAATCTATCATGTGATACATTTATGTACATATTACATATATAATGTCTAGTAAATTAAAATTTTAATGGGAAATAACACAGAATATACATCTAGTTTATATAAAAGATATTAATCAAAGTATCTATAATCATACCTACGGAAGGTGGACGTGGTTTATGTATATTATCTGATCAGTCAATTAGTTGCCACAAGAGAAAGAGGGGATGTTGCAGCGAGAAGGAAGCCTAGATGCGATGCGGACTGTGTTGCAGAGACAGTCCACCGGTACGGCCTGGAGAGCTCCGCAACACTCGGAGCTCGGGTTCGTGTTCGCAGCTCCAGGGACCACGAACTCCGCGCACGTGTTCAGATTCGTCAGCTCGGCCGTGCAGCTCTGCCCCTCCGCCACTCCCACCGCTATCAGGACCAGTGCGAAAGCGATCAGAATCTTTGACGAGTCCCTCTTTGTCACCATTGTTTCAAGTTTTTTTAGAAAATCTTTTTTGTTAGGGTTTCTGGTGGTGAGTATTGTGTGTCTCTCCTAGGGTTCAGGGTTTTATATAGACGTGACTTGAGGTGTATGTTTCACGACGTGAAGAGGGTTCCGCGAGTGTGAGTTACCTAAACGCGAGAGAGAGAGAGAGAGAGAGAGAGTTCGTATCATGCATGGAGGTTGTGTGCGCTTGGCAAACATGCAGCTTACGTGAATATAATGCATCCTAGAAAACAAAAGGGACGAAGCCGAATAAAAAACCTAGGGGTGTAAATTTTGGGCTCGAAGTGCGAAGCGCCACCCGGTCTAACCCGAAAATTAGTGGACTTCGAATATAAGTTTCTCGTCTCTGAAAAAAATCGAGCTTTTGAAGCAGGCTCAAATCGAACTTCGGATTCGAGTAGGGCCGACCGAAAGTCCAATATTTATAAATAAAAAAAAAAAAGATTTACAAAGAGGTTTATATAGGTCGGCCCAGCCTGGCCCGACCCATGCTCGGTATATATAGGACTGGGTTTTTGGTTTAACTATATAGGTTCGAAAAAAATTGGACCGGTCCGAGTCCGAGCCCGAAACCTTCGAGTCGAGTGCAGGTTCGAGCCGAGTCGGAACCGTGCCGTCCCGATTGACACCCTAAAAAAATCTTAAATTATAAAACTAAATTGTGTATTTTAAGTTCCTCATTAGAAACTCTAAACTATACAAATAACTCAAGCAAAAAAAAAATCAGAAAACATGAGGAAAAAAATCCGATTTATTTGTCTCATCAATAAAAGAATTGTCTCATCATATGTATATCAGTATATGTGCGTGTATTTATGTGTATATATATAAATGTGCGAGCATATATATATATACATGTAATATATGCGTCTGTATTTTTTTTATTTATTTTCATTTTTTAAAAATTCCTTGATGATGTGGTAATATTTTGATACGTCGTAACCGGTGATCTTATCGGTGACTAGATTTTTTTTTTTTAATACTAAAGAAGGAAATGACTTCCAATGTCATGTAATTTTTGTTTTAGAAATCTTTGAAATTCAAGATTTTGACTAGATTTTTTTATACTAAAGAAGGAAATGACTTCAAAAGTAGCGTAATTTTTTCTTGGAAATATTTGAAATTCATGATTTTAACCGAAGATAATTCATGTATTAATTTGGAAGTCGATAACGAATCTTTCGCTGCATCCGAGTTTCGCGCTCCGATCTCGCGCCACAATCGCGACGAGATTCGGACGTGTCTCCGCTCGTATGGAGAACGATCCTCCTCGATCGAGGACAAATGATCAGCAGCAACTTAATCTCTCCGTTCTCCGTTTCACTTTCGGTAATTCTTTCTTTCTCTGGCCTTCTTTTTCCGCCGTCGAAAGTTCGAATTTCGTATCCTGAAGCTGAATTTGATTGGTACGGATACTTTTGTCTGCGGCCGATAGGAATTCCTGGACTGGACGAATCATACCTGCCGAGATGGATCGGCTACGGGTTCGGGTCGCTTCTTCTCGTAAATCACTTCTTGGGTTCTGGTCCTACCAGCGAAGCTCAGCTGGTAAATTGTAGTCAACTCCACAACTTTGCAATTTTACTGTTTGAATGGTGATTTGGGTTCATATGGTTACTAAATGCTTGGTGACAGAGATCAGAAGCCTTGGGCCTGTCACTTGCTGCATTTTCCGTAGCTATACCGTACATTGGAAAGTTCCTCAAGGTAATCATATTGCACTACCTACTGCATTGTTTTTATTATCATCCGTCTATATTGAGCAAAGTATGATCTGGGGTTTCCCCGGATTGATCGTTTATGGGAGAAAGGGGAAAGTTTTTGTTGAGATTGAGATTGTTAGAATTTCTTCTTTGCGTGATGTTGTTGATGGTATTGTGTTTGTTGGTTTATAGGGTGCTGCAATGGCAGAACAGAGAACTCTGCCTGAAGAGGGGAGCCAGATTTTCATTATATCGTCAAAAATTCCAGATACTTTGAAGGAAGATCTTGCATGGGCAACATATGTTCTACTGAGGAATACAAGTACGATAGCTGTGGTATGATTTCGATCTAGTGGACTGGTGCTCTTGTTGTTCGTGCATAGTTCATAGTTGTATGCTTTTCTGTTGCTTGCTTACGTTGAACAGAAGTGTTAAACCTAGTTTTTCTTCAGTTGATATCAGTTCAAGGTGAGCTTTGCGTTCGTGGGTATTGGAATAGTCCGGTTCAGATGTCGAAAGCTCAACTACATGATCGGTTTCAGAATAAGTAGATGAAATCAGCTTGTCGGATGTGAAGGAGATACTTTATTTCCCTCAATATTCAGGTACATTATTGATTCTCTATTTCACAATCCTGAACTGATTCAATGGTGTAGCTTTCTTATATGTCAAAGCAACCATTTCTATGAAGTTTCAAAATTTACTGATAGTGTCTGCTTGATTTTAGGTTCTGCTTCATGGGAAATACTTCCAGATGGGACGCGTTCTCTTCTGGTGCAACCATTTGTACAGAGTATGAATGAATCACAAAAGATGGAAGGGTTTTTGATGGTCGCTTCTACTACTGAATATGCATATAGTGACAAAGATAGAGCCTGGATTCAAGCTATAGCTAACAAATTCAGAGGTGAGAATGTTCACATGGAATGATGGAATTAAAATGAAATGAGGTTTTTGCTTACTTTTTGGTTAGATCAAACAATCACCATATTTACCAGACTTGGCTTTAGGTATTCATGTTGTGCTGCTGTTGCGGCCAACTTTGCACATTCAGGACATGAATTATTAAAACATTCATGGGAGCAAAGCCAACTTCTTAGTTCATTTGATAAGTGAATCTGCACATTCTTCTCAATGACTTTTGGATTTTGCTATCTATGGTTTTGGAATATGCAGCAATATACAAATGTAAAGCTCAAGTGAAATTTGCCATAAAATCTTTTATTTATTATAAAATATTATCACACCTGCATATTATTATCCGGGCTGCGAATTCGTCAGCAATGTGGCTAGTCTTTGAGGTCAAATCTTATAGAGTAAATGCTTTGTATCATCATATCTTGTTGAAGTCTCCAAAGATCACCAAACATTTCGTTTCTTATCTCCTTTTTCCTTCATGGCTAGCAGGATCATATGTGGTGTAATTTTTTATCTGTATCTTGAAGATTGACAACAAGTTCCTAAAGAAACTTCTCCAGGCCATATACCAAATTCTGCAAATCCGAGAGGAACGATGAAAGTTGCTCAGATCAAGGTTAGTGAGAGATCCATAGGTGAAAGAGAGCTATTCACTTCTTTTGTTCTTACCTTAAGACGCACAACCTTTCTGATAGCAAGGAGTAGGCCTGGCATTAGGGACCTTACATCCGTTATGTCATGTTTGACAGTGTAAACCTGCATCCAGCAGCCTGAACCATGAGATTTGTCACGAGCTATAATTTCCAACCCCGGTATTTTAAGATAGAAGCTAGAATATTCATGTTCTGTTCTTCTAAGATTATAGTTTCTTCAATGTTAATTCTTCCAAGACACTTAAATGCCAAACTAAATTACATCTCCTGGACTCGAGAAGTAAACTGTGGTTCTCGATGGTAGTAGTCCTGGAAGAACCATGCTATGAACACGGACCCCATCTTCTCCTACTACTTGACCCCTTGCCTGGACAAAGGAACGCAGAAACACAGCTCTGTTAAAAGGTTAGTTTATTATACATGTAAAAGATCTTGGTCTACTCTGTCTTAGATAGCAAGCCACTGCTGCAGTTTTCTGCTAGTTTATTCATGCTTACCTGTACATCGGCCACGATATCTTCCCTATTGGAGATCTGACCGAAGTTTGAAATGTTGTTGGCAATTTGAATAGCATCTGGAGAAGGAAGATCCTGCATTTACAACGACGCAATTTATATGTCGTTCACTAAGTCAAAGTTGCATATGTTTGTATGTGGCAAATGATTATCTTCTTTCTTATATGCCGTGATTCAAGTAAACGCAGTATACAGTTCCTGCGAATCCTTGGAGCCTTTCCAGATTCTAAACTAGTTTTGATCAACATTCCAAACTTTGATTTCGTTATAGGATATCTTATTTGCATTCTCTCATACGGATGCATTTTCCCTTGACTCCACAAGTTCTACATTGTTGTAGTGGAAGGAAGCCATTATAACAGCCTGCTGCAGAAGTATAGATCCTATGGATAGAGTTGGTGCCACCAGGCAACCCTAACATGATGAACGGGAAACTAGATCAAACACCGGCAGACGTTCTTGTCTTGGCGAAATAAGAAGAAGATACCGAATTGCTGCAATGGAGCATCTCACCCTCTGCTCACCATGGTTGCCTTCTCACATAATGCAGATAATGCTGACACTGTCTCTGGCTTAATCCGAGGTATGCATACTACACTCTTCATTCCAAATATTGTTGCCTGATGAATTCAGAAGTAACACCATTTACAAATAGCAGAATGTAGATTACTTCTATGAGTTTTCACATTAAAAATGTTCCTTTACCTGTTTCACATTTTCATAGACCGTTGACGGGTCGGTAAAATCAACGACAACTCCCGTTTCTTTAGCCTGCCGGGATTTTTGTAGACAGTTTAGACGAAATTTGTGGGCCGCGAGAGAGATTTTTTGGGAAAGGAGAAACTTTGGGAGTAAATGTTAACCTGAGAGATTGAGCCTAAGTAAAACCCGAGTTAACGACACGTAGAATGAGGTGATAACGTTAAGAGACCTTGCCGATATCTTCACCGACGAAAAGGGTATCCACAGCACCTGCTAACTCCATTCCTCTGGCCTTGGTGATAGCAATTACGGCCGCTTTT